TAAGTTGCTACGATATAGCACTATCTGTCGTTAATCGACAATTTTTTTTGTTTTTTGTTTTTTTTTTTTTTTTAAAGCATTTTCTTGAGATTCGAGAAAATGGCGGATTCTACGAAGAAAAGTTTAACTTCTACTTCGGCCAGCAAGTCAACTTTTGATCTCGCTAGTATAATTTTTGAAAAAGATAAAAGCAGAAAGTCTGTAAAAGGGACTGATAGTTTTAAAACTAGCATTAAATCAACTGCAACTGGTGAAAATTTAGAAAAGGTCACATGCAGTCCGAGTGAAATGGCGGCAAGAAATCGACCGTCCTCATCCAAAAATAAAGATGATGCAATCATCGAAACTGCAAGTTTTTCAAAAGATAACAGTCAAACTTTTGCTGACTTTAAAATGGAATAAAGTTGGCAATGTTTTGCCAGCAAAAGTTGCTGACATAATTAAACACATGTTTAATACTAAGCAAGCTGATGATCGGTCAAAAGGAATAATGGAAAAATACCTGAGACCAGGGAATATTGAATTATATCCTCAAAAGATCAATACAGAAATTTGGGGGCATCTGAAAAAGGAAACCCAATTCAAAGACATTGACTCTTTCAAATTGAGTGAAAAATTGATAAAATGTTCATATGCTGTTATGAGCTTAGTAGAACTGTTATTAAAATCTAAGAAACAGGACAAAAAGTCAGATGATAAAGACAGTAGTCTGTCTTCTGGGATTAAGACTGGAATGGATGCTCTTTCATTACTTGGCCATATAGTGCAGGATCATAATCAGATTAGACGTGATAGTTTAAAGGTAGACTTAAATCTACAATATAAAAAATTGTGCAATCCTTCTCATAATACTGATACTGGATCAAGTAAATGGTTGTTTGGTGATGAACTTGGTAAACGTGTAAAAGACATAAAAGAAACAAATCAAGTTGGTTCATCAGTGGCCAGTGGAAGCCGTCTATATAAAAGCGTTTCAAGATTTAATTCTAGATCCAAGCCTTTTTTATCACAAGGCAACAGTCACTACAAGCGACCTCCACAAAATCAAAGTCAGTACAGGTTCTCGAACAAGAAGTACAGTTCTCATCAGAGAAGCAGTTACAATCAGAACAAGAAAAATCAGTCAGAGAAAAAATAGATTTGTTTGAATCGGTGAGTAATTTAGAATCTCTAACTTCTTGGGAAGAATTTCGCAGTCAGTTAGGT